CCCATGCTCCCCTCCCCAGCCCGGCAATCAACTGCGGTGGGACACTAGGTGCCCCCCAGACCCAGGAGAGCACCAGTCACTGAGCGGGGGGGGGGCGGGGTTTGGGGAACCCCCAGCACACTCCGTGGCAGACCTGGAAGTGGACCGGAAGTGCTTTAGGTCTGCTTCTGGGTCTGCTACTGAGTGCACTGGGGCCCCACCATCACAGCATTCATGAGCCACCTAGTACCTTGAGGTATGTAGAAAAAATATTTAATCTTACTGAATCTCTCTGAATCGATTGAGAGGGTTCCGATTTGATTCAGAGACATTAAAGGGTCTCCTGATTCAGTTCAGATTCAGAGATTCAGCCACTGAATTTGGCCAAATCTCTGCCAAATTGAATCAGCAACCGAAGCTTCACACAGCCCTAGTGGGTAGCCATGTTAGTCTGAAGACTGGCAGAAAGTAGGGCAGGGTGATATCTTAGAGACTAACTGGTTCAGAGAGGCACAAACTTTTGTAACCAACAGACTACTTCATCAGAGTCTGTTTTATCTGTTCCCATTTAAACTTGCCCTTGCAGTACAAAGTCCTTAAAGTAAGGAGTTGATTTTTAATGTACATTGAAGTACGCCTGTATGATATGTGAATAAAATGCAATCCAAAAATTCCAGCCCTGAAATTATTCTTTGTTCCTTGTTATTTGAATTTATGGGAAGAATGAATATATAACATACAGTTTGCCTGGTTTTGTTTGCTCGTGCCAAACAGGAACAATGAAGTGCTTTATGGGAGTTGGTCTTTCTCTATTTCTTTTTATGCTGTGTAAGATATTGCTGTCACCACAAGTCCACTTTATCCTTTTCTGCTGAGGAAGGAGCTATGCCTGTCAATATCCAAAAACTACTGACTCAACAGAGCATAGGAATCAGACCTACAAAAATTAATCTTAAATCCAGGACAGAAGGTGTGAGAGATATTCAAAGGTGTGAGAGATACTAGGTAGTCAGTGGAGAAGACTAAAGTAAAAAGGAAGGAACAGGTTGGCTTCCTTCTCCCTACCACGGTGTCCCTGATGAGTGTCACCACTTCCCTCAGTTTCTTTAGAAGCAACATAGTCACTCTTGTATTGGAAGTGTAGTGGAACACTTGAGAAGTGGGCAAATCCATCTGTGAGATTCTTACTAGGAAAAATATTGATAGGAGGTAGACTCCTGCCCTCTCTCCATCATCATGACAATGCCTGTTTCACCATTCCTCTATATATCATCTCCATGTATTATTATTTTCTTTCCTTTGTTTTCTATTCTAATTGTCATTTGCAAGGCAATGTGTAAGGACTAAAAGGTATTCACATGTCACCGTAAGTGTTCATGATGTGTTCATCTTGTCACTGGGGACATCATTCATAGGTTGGGGTCCAGATTACAATGGAGGATGGTCTTTGGGCCATGTATGGTCTGAAGGTGATGGTTTATATCCCTACAACAAGGTTTTTATGAAGAGCTGGCTATAAGAGCACTGTAAAAGTGGATGTTTAACAGAACAGAAGGGAAAAATTAACATAAGTTTTAGAATGTAAAATTCATTCTTATTGAAGAAGCTATGTGAAATGAAAGAATAATAGAATACTCATCTACTTTCCCATATTGTCTTCATTTTCCTTTTTTTAAGAATAATTAAAAGGTAAATGTATGTGATACATATTTTTAATTTTTTTAATCTATTTTCCTTTCACTTTAGCAAAAGTGTGTAATTGTCTCTTTAAGTAGCCAGTTAATAGGCCAATCTTCTTGCACTGTAACCTGGACCATGTGCACTTTTTTTGCTTAAACGGTTTGGTTTTTCAAAGCTCACTGAAATCAGATAGAAAGATGCCATGAACATCAGTGGGTTCTACATCCAAGTCCCTCCATGTTATGAATTGTGAACACTTTTTGCATTTTGTGAAACATATTTTTAGCACCCTTTCCCTCAATTAATTATAGTATATCACAGTTACTACTTCTGTAAACTTCAGTTAATTTCTTCAGCTCATCCTAAGTAACTGAATCTAATGCTCCATTTGCACCAGAAGTGCAAAGTGTTTTGTAGGATACAGAAGTTATAAGATATAGGGCTAGCTACATGTCTAGGGAGAGGGAGGCAAAGGGAGAAAAAAAGATGAATTCATCCAGAAAGTTCTGTTTTTGAATTTTTACTCAACAGGTTCCTCAATCCATCATTTGTGCTGAATTAGTTTGTATATTTTTTTTTTTTTTAAGAATTGGCATCTAATTTGCCTCTCTTTTTCCAAGTTTTAGAGATCATTTTGTGTGGAACAAGGTGACATCCTGCATCCATAACATCTTGAGTGGGCAAAGATGGATTGAACACTATGGAGAGATCATCATCAAAAATCTGAATGATGACATTTGTCATTGCAAACTGACTTTCATGAAGGTGACCTTTTAACCACATCAATGTTAATAATACCCTTTCTGTTTGAACACTGTTGTGAATATGATGCTATATAATAAAGTCAAGTTCAGCTGAGTGTTCGTGCCCTTTAGACTGCTGAAGAATTGCATTTTTTCCTTTTTCTTTTACTGTAATTGCTATTGATGCTTTGGATATTGGTGACCATTAAGTGGAGAAAATACTCTACAAGAGTTGTTCCATTTGGGAGAGCAGGAAATAAGCTGCAGCTTTTTTTAAGGAGACTCCTTCAGAGAAACAGAAAAGAATGCAGCGATTGGGGAAAGGATGTCAACATGGGAACCATGTGGCTGTTTACACAGCAAAAAATGATTCAAGTGGCCTCTAGCACTGGCTCGCTCTGTGCCCCCAGCTAAACCACTATGATCTTGTCAAGTTGCCCTCTGTTAGCAGCTGTAGTGCTGGTCCTTGCAATCGGGATGCTTAACCACACTGAAGTGAGCAGCTAGCATTCTCCTGTCTTATGTATATGCAGCATAGCTTAGTTGAGCTTTTCGGCTTGCGTGTCAGTCGAAAGCATCAGACACAAAGCCAATCCAACTTACAGTTAAATCAGTAGTAGACTTAATCGCTACTTGGTCCCAAATGGCAACTAAACACCCAAATGACATACCAGTATACTTCAATCAATTGCACTGAAATCCCAAAGGAAAACTACATGTACAGCATACTGGGACCATAGGTTCATGGGAAAGTAGGGCTGGAAGAGACCTCATACAGTCATCTAGTCCAGCCCCTTAATCAACACAGGATTATCTCTGACTAAACCATCCCAGCCAAGTGTCTGTGATTTTCCTAGATCTTTGATGCATATTCACAACTCTTTTAAGCAAACAAAGCTTTGCTCAATCACTTCCAACTTTGATTTTCCAAGTGCCATGGGACACACCATGTGCCTGCAATAGAAGAAAAGAAACCGCTCTAAAATGCCTTTGAAATTACATGTTCTCTGTATTTGTCCCCTCTGGTATGGTTTTACTCTAAGTAGCACAGAAGTGATTTTTTTTTTTTCCCAGATACTTGTTTTTAATTATGTGATGGATTCATGATGCTTAATTCTATGGTTGGAACATGTTCTTGATATACTGAAGATCTTAAGCATTTGATATGTAAATTGGCTAAAACTGAGATCATTTATCTGAACATCTACGTTGTTTATACTGTGGAAAAGTATCAATAAATCTGTATGTCAGCATGCTCTAACACTCTGGCCTGGGTTAAGCAAATTTAATAGCTACCTGTGGTTTGCCAGCCTCTACTTCTAATGGTGTCCTTTTTTTATTAAAGCGCAAATGGAATTATCAGAATTTTTGTATAAATATTAAACAGTTTTAACAAATTCCCTCGTTAAAATTAATGGGAGTTGCATGTCCCACTACTGGATAAAATGGATCTAAGGCCACTGACAGACATTAGACAAAAGGCATGAAGGGATCTGATACACACTCTCAATAATTGCGCTTCCTGCCATGCCATATGTGCATGGCAGAAGGTGCAATTGTGGGTTCAAGTATCCAGTCCCATTATGTCATATTGCCAGATCAGAGGGAGTCTGGGATGAGGATCCTGGGCTCCCCATGCACCAGTAGTCTTCACTCCCATGGCTGGGAGACCTGTCAGTTGATTGGTGCTCCCTGCCATGGGACATACCACGCACACCTGCAGCTGAAAGCTCCAACCAACTGGCAGAGCTCCCAGACATGGGAGCATCATGTACTCCTGTAGGTGGGAGCTCCGTTACGTGATTGGGACTGCCAGGTAGGAGAGAACAATGAGCTTCCAGCTTTGTGTAATAACTTTATTGCTTATTCCTGTTTTTTATCATGTCATTTATTGAATGAATGTGTAGTCCAGTCACTACTTAAGTGTAATGGGTAACTGGTTAATCACATCTCAAGATATGATTATCAGGGGTCTAAGTAGATCAGTGTGTCATAGATCTTGCATATAGCTTTTCTTAAGTAAAACACCCTACAAGAAGTGACATTTGTTCCTACAGTAAGACACAATATCAGTTGTAAAATGATTGATACGTATGTCTTTTCAGTGATGTTTCTGTTGATTTTAATTCTAGGCAAAATATTGGAGTCCTAACGTGCATGAGATTGAAGGCAGTGTTATAAATAAAAGTGGGAAAATAGTGCATCGCTTCTTTGGAAAATGGCATGAGAGTTTATACTATGGGACCTCATCTTCACCACGTTGCATATGGAGAGCAAGTTAGTGAACAAAAAAATTGCTGCTTGCAGAATTGTAAATGTGTTTAAGAACAAAGTTACCATGTGTTCAGGTGTCTCCTCTGTTCTTTCATTACAAGTAATGTTACGTTGTATGCAAATCTGCTGTTCTGTAAAGAGTAACATTGAGAGAGGCTAATTTGTGATCAACTGAGTGATATTACATTTGTTGAAGAAATGAATTGCATGGTTTTGACCTCCTCTTCCCCACAGCACCACCACCATTTTGTCTCAGTTGTGCATTTGGGCATTTACATAAGTATTACAAAAAATACAGAGGGGCCCTTTTACTTTCTAAAGAGGTTTTCACAGGCACATTTCCTTAAACAGTAGCAATAGCACGCCACGCTCGGGTCTACAACCTGATCAGAATCAGACACATCTCCTTCCCCCAAGTAAGATGATTTGTACTCCATGCTAACAGAACAGGGGAAAGCTATGATGTAATACCCTGTCTTCAGTTTAGTTTTAGTTTTGGGGCCCTTTGAATCTCTTTAGTTGGTGTGAACTTTAGTATTTACATGGCAAAAGAGCAGAGCTTCATAATGTATTATGTTTTTTTTGCTGCAACATTTCAAATGAGTCCCATTCCCAAGACAATAGTGCATTCAGGAATAAGCAGTTGACAGGGAGAAGACTTTGTAATTTAAGTTTTTTTTTCAAAAATAACGACGATTGGGCATTCTAATATACATACGTGTCCTTTCTTTTTTAGATCCAATGCCTAAAGATTATGAGCAGTGGTATGGATTTACACAGTTTGCATTAGAATTAAACGAATTGGACCCACAAACAAGATCACTACTGCCAGCCACTGACACACGCTTTAGGCCAGACCAAAGGTAATTGTTTTTCCTATGAAATCTTGTCATATAGTAGCCTTTGTCGCTGTGTAGTAACTTAATTCCTTACTCAAGATGTCTTGCTTTTTTTTTTTTTTTTCCCTCAAAATTTCCCATGGCTGCTATCATGACAGCATGTTTGTAACTGTTGGTAATGACAGAAGCTTTAATGTTGATCTGGTGCAAATATTTTAATTGCTTGCTCAGAGCAGATCTAGTCATCACAGACCAAGACTTTCAAAAGTGATGTTGGTACCTTGTTTTTAGAGCCTTTTACAAGGTCTGGGTTTTCAGAGGATGAATGCACGGCATTCTCTGAAAATTGCACCCTCCTACCCCCACCCCCTGGTATATCTCCCTTTGGGTACTTAACAGTTGAAGCCTCAAAAGTACTTTTGAAATCTTGTTTTAAACGCTGGGAGCCAAAACATTTGTCTTGAGTGAAATTTCTACTGTAGCTACTGCTGGTGAAATTTTATAAGGAAAAATATGGACAAGCCTTTGTTACATTTTTCTTTTTTTATATGGCTTAATGAAATGTCTTCTGCAGATATTAACTCTTTGCTGTACCTGAACTACAAATTACTTTGGTGTTAAAGCTAAAAATCTAGGCCTCTGGAGTCAAACTGAGAGCATTAAAAAGACAAGGCGCAGAAGCACTGATGACTTTTGTTTTTGTCTTTGCTGTACCATAGGCTTTTAGAGGAAGGGAATACTGAAGGAGCTGAAATGCAAAAGCAGAGGATTGAGCAACTACAGAGGGAACGGCGAAAAGTTCTAGAAGAAAACAATTTGGAGCATCATCCCAGATTTTTCAGGTACTGTGACATGATGGCAGATGCTGTAATTTAGTAAAGCTGTTTTTTGTTTTGTTTTTTTGTCACAGCACTTGCTTGGTACTACTTAAGAACAGGATGTCAAGATTTCCAAAGTTTTTGTAACTTAACCATACACATTAGCTCGTAACTTAGAGTTGTAGCCAAAGGTCAGATTTTATAACTCTTATAACTTTCTCTCTTGTTGCTATTTTTTATCTGAAAACACATTACATTTTGTAAGTTTTGACTTCTTCTCAGCCCTTCATATAAGTTGAAGTGGAAAGGGTGACATTTCTGGCTCTTCTGTGCAAGCCCTCCATGCACGGACATTTCATGGAATATTGTGGGAATTCCAGAGTGCAGCAAATCTTATAGGAAGGGCTCTTCTGTTTCCTAGACTATCAGTCTGATGCTTTAGATGACCAGTTAAGTCACTTAAATCATTTGAACACATTTTGCCTAACTAAGGGCAAGAGAAATAAAATTGGGGGATACTGTTACTCCTGCACTTACAACATTAAATGTTTAACCCAAGGTTTCAGCATCCAAAGATTAAAAGGATAGGTTGGCAGATGAAGGCTGTGCCCTTCCCAGAATTCTTAGTCCAGGACCTTTTAGGTTTAACAATCATGTATGTATGAAAAAAGTTCTAGGAATTTGTGAGACCAGAGAACAGTTCAGGAAATTATTTTCATCTTTGACAGGAAATCCATAGATGACTCCTGGGTGAGTAATGGAACATACCTGGACCTTAGAAAAGACCCTGGCTTTTCCAGACTGGACAGTCCTGTCCTTTGGTGAAAAAGGACCCAAGAGGATATATGGCTGGATTGCTCTGAATAATTTATAAAGCAGTACATGTGTGTGCATGCGCACACACTCACAAGTACACATACATATACACACATGTATACATAAAGTATATCTTCTAGAATTGTGCTTAAGTTAGAATCTGACACTTTCATCATTTGATTGCTCTACTATTTGATAGTTATCATGATTGAATGTATAAAATCCCAAATTTCCTTTTTATAAGCTATTTAATGAAAATTATCAAATGGAAATGGCTGGAGGGAAAAGAGGAGCTTTAACACTACTTTTCCAATGAGTAATAATGCAAGTTCAAATTTAATGTATGCCTTATTGAATTGTGCTGAAAAAAATATTAGCATCTCCTAGCTGAACTAAGAGACATGAACAGGAACCGTGGTTACTCAAACTGTAGGTTACTCTACACCATGGTTTGCATGAGTAGACCAGTGGTCTCTCAAGCAAGCGTTCACTTCCTCAAAACAAAGAACATCAGCTGGTGCTGACTCCGTGGTAACCCATTTTTGTCTAGAGAAGATTACATAAACTTTTTTTTTTTTTCTGGTTGTTACTGGCTCATTGAAAGAGTTAGTGCTTAGTAAAATCAGTATTGTATTGGTCATTCTGCTGCCTTACATACAGAATTGTACCCTACTACATACAGTGCTATATATTCAGGAATCACTGCACCTTCCCACTAGGTATCTTCAATTTTATAGCCTCTAAAAAGGCAAAATTCCTTTCATGGTAATGCTTCAGCACTGACCAGATGATAGAAGATGTTCTCCTCTTTTCCAGTAAATAAAAAATACATAGAGCATGAAAGCTTATGCTTCCATAGCCTGACTTATTTCTATTAACTAAAAAAAATTGCAACAGGAAGACTTTTTAAAAACTTAGCTAAATAACCAATTGTTTTAAGGTAAAAGATGTTTTCTTAAATATTATTTTTGATATTTTCTACCTCTTATTATAAGCAGCATATTTAAAATCTTGTATAAAAAGTACCATCTGCCTTATAGTGAAATGTATGGAATCTTTGCTCTTCCTTTACCTGTTTGTTGTGTTCAGATAAATATTTAAGTGTCTTGCACTAAATTGTTTGGATCTCTTTCCTGTCCTCTCCATTTATATGGATAGTATTTTTTCATAAGTATAAACTGTATGCCCAGCAAATTGTAGTAGGAAAAAGATGCAAAGAAAATTGCATTTTTACATAGAGATGGAGGGTGTTGGTGTTGTTCCTCTTCCCTCCCTTCCCCTCCTCCCCCAGCCTAAACTTGCAGGAATACAATAACAATCTCTGGCACAGTTTACATTCCTGCCCAAACTAGAACACAAGCTCAGCCCATAATCTTACCAGTCTATTGTATGCAAATCCTGTGGGAGATGGATAGTAGCAGTGAAGTGTTTGCACTCTTAAGGTTCAACTTTATTGTTTGCATATAAGCTACTAAGGGATGGTTTAAGGTTAATAGCATGTATTAAAGCCCAAGGGACTTTGCCAATGCTGCCATGTATAGCCAACTTATTGGAAGTAATAAGTAGAAGATGTAAGAGCTAAGGAAACTTCAGAGGGATCAACAGCTCTGAAAAGTTTCCAATCTACTGTAGGTCCTTGCAGTTTTTAAAGAGAAATTATTCCTGCAAATACTGGATGAGTGTATTGTATGATGTATGACATTAAACAGATACCATAAAAATTTCCAGTTTAAAACAGTTCTGTGATGTCAGTTCAGATTTATTATTTAATTTTGCCTGCTAGCATCTTTGATGCTTCACTTCATCAATTTGGAGCCCAACTGCTATATTAGCAGTTTCAGTCCCTTTGCACTGTAGATCTCTCACTCTCATGGTTGCAGCATATTCCCCAAGCATAGTTCTTTTTATTTAATTTATCCTTTAAATATATAGAACATAATACCTGTTTAAAGAGCCAGCAAATTAAAATCGTGTGTTCAGCTTAATGCAAAAGATGGAAAAAAGCTGGGTTTTATGACTCAAAGGGAAAACTGATCCACTGGGCACAGTTAAACTTTGAGAGAAAGCAAAGGAATCTGGACTGTCAGATCCCCTGTTGTGGTGTTCTTGCATTATCAAACTCTGGCTCAGGAATTATTTGGTGTTTCTAGTGTCTCTACAACTTCTAATTGCCACTCACCCCAACCACAGTCTCTGGGCCTTTTTTCCCCCCTTACAAAATTTAGAAAGGATGAAAATTCTCAAGGAAAGCTTATGAAGGAAACTAAAATAGTAGCTTTTTCCTTGTTACAGTTGGTAGATGTTACCACTGCTGTCTGCTGTGACCATTATTATTGTACCATCTGTATACTGTGTAAATTTTTTCAAACCTATTATAATGCATAATTCAATATTTCCAGTAAGTTGGTGTCTGAACCTGAGATCCTAAAGACTTGGACACAAGAAGGCAAATTTAAAGATTATTCATTCCCTTGCATTACTGTAGTTATAGTGCCCCTCAATGTGAGATTTAAGAGCATTTCTAAGGTATTGTATCAAAACAACTGCATGTAAAACCATCTAGCTGTACACTTCCTAGTTTTTCAGCAGAAATATTCCTTCTAGAAGAGGGGTAGAAGTATAATGTTACACGCTATGTAAAAGTTGTGGTGAGTGCACCATAATGCATTTCCCCATAGCAAGGGGTGGATCCAGAGAGAGTGTGGCAGCACAGTCACACAACCCTTTCAGACCATGCTGTGGGAGCAGCAGCCAGGGATTTAAGTTCCTGAAGCAGGTCAAATCTCCCCCACTACCACATACTCCCTTCCCCTCCGTGTTCAGCTGTACTTCTCCTTTCACCGCCGCTGCTGTCCATGGCTGAGCCTGGAGCAGAGGGAGCTCCAGAGTCGCTCCTGCCCTGTTCCAGCCAAGCTAGATGGGGAGCCACATTGAGCCAGGGACAGCAGCAGTGCCTGGTCCTCCCTGCTGTTCCCCCATCAGCCTTGGGAGCAGGTGCAGGGACAGGGCACCTGCCTGCTGAGCCTGACTCCCCACACACTCGCTCCCTGCAGCCCTTGCTCCAGCTGGCTGAGCTAGTGGTGACTGGCCAAAGGCATACATAGAAAGGGCAGGTTTTGTGGGGAGTGGGATGGCAGGTGCTGCTGAGTATGGAGGGGACAGGATGTGGTGCTGAGAGCTGGGTGGGGGGATTCTTATGTAAGAGACTTCTTAAAAGTGTCTGGCACCTGCTCCCATGGCATGGTCTGCCTGCCCTGGTGCAGAGGTGGGTGGCTGGGAGCAGGGGAATGCAGTCACCCCTGTGGCACTGGTTGCTATTTCCACATGCCCCTTTTTTAAACCCTTGATTCACCTATGCCTGCAACACAGACACAATTGGTCAAGGATGCCTGAAAGAGTTTAATTCCTTAATATTCATGTTAATTACAAAATCATTCAGATGTGAAAGAAAAGTGTTTTAAATATTTTCTTTGTTTGTGTGTATGTTAAAAAGGACCTGATAGCATACACAAGCAAGGATACTTGTTTGTTTGGCAAGAATACCTGGTCTTCACATTTCCATCCTTACATACAGTATGGTCCTGCATGTCCTATGAGGTGTAAGCAAGGTTTCTGGCTTTGTGTTTTAACTGACAGCACTCCCTGACATTACTAGGAAAATAAACACTGGAAAGAATCAAATATATTTGTTGACACTCCACTCCACTGAAAGCTGTCTTAATCTCTTCACGAGAAGTTAAGAGTTTGACCTTTTTCTCAGTGTTAATTGGGAGGGAGCAATCTCCTGAATTGAAAAATTGCAACTGCAATGAAAATCCTCTCTCAGGTGTTTTAGGATTTTTTAATCATTTTTGAGAGAGAGATTACTTGCATAAAATAAACACTGAATTTCAGATAAATACAAATGCAAAACTAGGTGCTTGAAATATAAAATGTTCTTAATGATAGGTACAGAGTCAAGTCTGCTCCTTTTGGTTTTTGTAGATTTTTCTTTTTTCAGTTTAAAAGGTTTCACACAGCTTTCGGTCTATAATTACTTCAACCCCCATCTCCACCCCGGAATACCTGCCAAGATAACTTGCATAGTGTGTTTTTTGTTAATCTAAAGAGCACTTTGAAGCCATTATATTGTGAATGGAAGTGGGACACTGTTGTTCACTGCATTTCTGAGTTGCTTCACTTTGAAGTCTCCTTGACGTTTCAGTTACCTTGTCAGCATTAATCTGCTGTTTTAGGTGCTGCATAAATGCTTTTATGACTCAGCACCTTGCTTCCCATATACTCACTATTCACTATTATTGGTAAACAGAATCCCCTTATGGGCAATGGTTTATGACCAGATAAGATTTAAACAATTTTATATAAGCCTGTGAAATGCATTGCTTTCCAAAATGTAACCTCATCCTGTCTAATGTGATTTATACATTGCCATAAGGATAGCCTGATTATTTTGGGGGGGGGGGGCTATTAAGTTTATTATGTGGGATATTGAGTAGATTTAATGTATTCATTAATATTAAAAGTGTCTGTATTGTAGCATGTAGTATAGGCAAGGCTTATGTCCATTCCTTTGCACTTCTTATTTCAGAAGTGGAACTTGTATTGGTGTTATTGCCAATTAACTGAGGAACTGAAAGTGTCCAGGCATTGAAATATGTTGCGTCTGTTCTAGTGAAATTAGCAAGTTGATCCCTTCGTGGTCTGCTTGAGTCTCAAAAACCCACAGGGCCAGTGATGCACCGCGAAGTAACATGGTTACCGTTCTGCCTTCCAATGGGACACTGTTTTGTTTATACAAAGGGTTTGTTTTCATTCAAAATTTAAAAATATGCTGTTTCCTCCCACCTCCACCCACGTATATTTGACCATCAGCTGCAGTAGACTGCTTTTTACAAATACCAGTTACAATGATCATCACAGCCTCTATGCCTGTGAGATGAGTATAAATCATCCCCACTTTCATGAGCGACTAGTGCTGCCTTAGTCGGGGAGGGGGGGCATGTGCAAGAAGTCAACGATGTGCAGGGGAGTCCCCCTGCCGCCAATCTCACTGATTTTGGGGGGGGCGGCAACAATCACTGCAGCCACTTCTGGAAGTGGCTGTGGCCACTTCTGGGAGTGCTGCGGCGCTCCACTCCCTGGCCAGCACTTGCATGGGGGGCACCAGCACTCCCACCTGATTCCCCTGCCTAAGCAGTGAGTGCGGCCAGTCAGGGGGTGCACTGGCGCACTTGGGAGGTGCACGTGCACCCCCTACCCGTCATCACTTCCCACTTTATACATGGGAAGACTAAGGTAGAAAATTAGTGCCTTGGGCAAGGCTGTAGTAGGAATCAAGTGTCAGGGCTGGGGATGAAATAGCAGGAAACACTTCATAGAATAAGTACAGGACTGATAGCCAAGTTGTATGTCAAATTGCTGAATTGCCTTGCTTGTAACAGTGACATTGGCTGCTTAGAGAAGCTGGCTCAGCTACAGCTTAATAAACTAGAAAATTATTGTTGGAAGCTCAATTAAAATTAGTTGCAGCTGGATGGCAGCGCCCTTCATCACCACATATTTGTGAAGCTCCTACTTATGTTCATGATTTTCCCTTGAAAAGGGAATATGGAGAACTGGTGACCTCTCAGAGGTATCAGTGGCAAACTTCAACTGCTGTGATGAACATATATGTTTAAAGGGAGATTGGCAAAGAAAAGTGGCTGAAAGTTACTCTGCCTCCCTTTATTTTCAAGTTTCATAAGAACTCAGCTCTGTTTCCATTGTGGTATGAAATTGGTGCTGGGAGGCAAAAAATTAAAAAATGATTTGCCTCATGCTCACTTCACTGTAAGTACTTTATTGAATGTAGAAATGGTTGAAGCTGAACTTTTCAATGTCCTATGAGAAGCTAGTTACCTCAGAATTTTCTCATGGGCCTTGAAAAGGAAACAGAATTGTATCAATTGGACTTCATCTGCATTTGTGTTGCTTGGATGTACGACACCTTAAAGTGTTAAATCTTTTTCACTGCAACACCCTTGGTTATATAGTATATTGTTCTCTGACTGTCACCCAGCAAAAAAAAAAGCATTACCTTCAGGTTGGGTAGTAGGCCACCAATTGAACTGCGCAGAAAAATAATCCTCCAAGGACTAGATTGTTAATAAGGATAATTTTAGTTAGCTTTCTATCAGTTAAACCATCTTTCTTGAAAGAAAGAAAGAAAAGAAAAATACAGTTTTTGTACATGTATATATTTAATAAGGATAGTCTTGCTTTGAGGAGAACCAAAATACTGGAAAAGTTGGCATGTGTAAATGGACCATTAGAACAATTCCAAATAATCCAGTTTCTGGACTGGGAATCTTCCACTGTGGTTTCTGTGTAGGCCTATGACAGGGTATGCAACTTCAGGGTACAGTAAGCCTCAATATTTGCATTCTTCCATATGTGTTTAAAAAAACAAACTGCAGTGGAGTGCTTTACATACTGTACTCTAACGTGGATATGCTGTAGTGGCAAGTACAAACAATAGAGCTGTCTCACACATCTTGATACCAAAGGAATTTGCAGAAAATTAAAAAAAAAAAACCCAAACAGAAAAATGCAGTTGTCTTTCACAACCCAGTTGTGACCTTTCTGCTGCTGTCATGTCTAGAAGCCCTCCCTTATTCCTTTGTGTCTAGAATACACATTTTAGTCATTCAAAAACCTTGGTTGTAACCACCCATAAATACTATGTTTTTTTAGTAAAAACAGCCATTGTATCTCTTCTGAAACCAACCAGTTTCTAGCACCTGCTACTTCTCATCTGATGCCAAGCAGTACCTTTAGCCTTAGAGTAGTGTCAAAAGCTGTGTCTGGACCACTCCAGAATTAAGTACAGTACCAGACAAACATGAGTGGCAGAAATGCATCCTTAATTAGCATTGCTTTGTTACATGCATTCATGCAAGTGCATTTTTGTATGATCTCTTTATAGGATCGACTCTTCAGAGCAGGGACCATATGTTTCTCCTGTGTGCATTATACAGTTTCCTAAGCATGTTGTCAGTGGTTAACAAATAATTAATGAAGCCAAAGTCTGCTTCCAAT